ATTGATTTTCTGTTTGGATGATCTGTCCATAGCTGTCAACAGGGAATTCAGGTCCCTTACTATAATTGTGATTTTGTCAGTTTTTCTCTTTAGTTCTGTTAATAGTTGCTTCTTATATTTTGATGCTCTCTCATTGGGATATATATATATATTGATAAGTGTTTGCTTTCTTGATATATTGTCCCCTTCATCATTATATACAATAGAATACTCAGCCATAAGAAAAGATGAAATACTGACATTTGAGACAACATTGGGGGATCTTGAGATTATCATGCTAAGTAAAATAAGTCAAATGGAAAAGTCAAGAATGATATAATTTCACTCATATTTGGGATATAAAACTGAAAGCAACAAGACAATGAACAAGACAAACAACAAAAATTCATAAACATAGACAACAGTGTGGTGGTTACCAGAGAGAAAGGGAGTGGGTGGCAGGTAGAAAAAGGTAAAGGGGCTGAAATATATGGTGACAGAAGGAGATTTGACTTTGAGTGCTAAACACACAAAGCAATATACAGAATTGAACACTTGATACCTATATAATTTTAACCAATGTCACTCCAATAAATTTAATAAAATTAAAAAAAAATAATTTTGTAACCTAAAAAAAGACTTGTAGATCAAACAGTAGTAGATAGGCTTTCTTTCTTTCTTTCTTTTATTATTATTATTATTATTTTTTATGGTGACATTGGTTAATGAAATCCAGTAAGTTTCAGCTGCACACTTTAACAGTAAGGCATATATATTAAATAAAGTCTTCAATAATCCTTCTAAGAGTAAACACTTTCTATCACCCTTATTTTTAGGGGCTTTTGCTGCACTGCTTAGATCCTTTTACTAGATCCATCATCTTCTCACTCAGCAGCTGTGAGTGTTGGTGACTAAGACTTCTCTTGGCCCACAGGAACAATTCTACCCAGAAATGTCTGGGAGGTTGTCTCTCTACTTCCGGATATGGTGGGCAACCAAATACTAATGCAAGGGTATCAAAGCCTAGCCCCTTTGCCTCAAGGTGGGACAATTCCGTGAGGCTATTCTATCTCAGAACCTCACTTGGGATTTGGCTAAAGCCTGACTGTAGCTGAGCCCATATCCTCACTTTGCTTCTCTGGCATCCTGTTTTGCTTCCTTCACTCCCTTATAAGTTCTCCCTGTAAGCACTTGCGCAGGGCTCCCCATCCCAGCCTCTGATTCCTTACCTAAGACAGCACGCCCACACTTTTCATATTCTAAAAAGATAAGCTAACAAAAGACCCCTGTTCTCTTTACTCCCCTTCTTCCCAACCTAGCATTAAGGGAGAAAGGCAGCCTAATCATGAAAGAAAGAATGCGTCATGAGAAAAAAAGTCATTTTTGCAACAGATATATTAGAAATTCATTCAATTGTCAAACTTTGACTTAAAGCCTACCAAATGACTCATTGTACTAAGGTCTCAGAACACAGATATATAAGATACAATCCCCCTTTGCCATACACGTTTGAGTTTAGTCTGATGAAGAAACGAACAAGTTAGTAGGACAATTATCATATTTTATAATAAATGCTGTTACTGAAGTCAGAACTCATTCAAGAAATTTTTCTTAAACATCTATGCGCTAAACTTGTGGGGTCTTAACAACTCAGAGCAGCACACAAACTATGAAATGGTATATGACAGCCCTAATGACTTGTGACATCATGGCTTAGCTATGGCATCTGTGGTTCCAACCCATGTTTCTGCCAGGAAGAAAATAATTTTTTAAACTCTCACTTTTGAACATTTGATTGTAAAAGAACTAGAAATTCTTCTGCTGAGCTCTCCTTGTGTTAGAGGTCATTAGCCATCTATATATGAGTTCATAAGATCAAGAAACATCCAAGAGAATCTCTGTCCCAAGCCCCATACTCTGTCATTGGCCTGAAAGGCCACCATTGCAGATCCATCACTTATGACTCACCAGGCTCTCAGCCACTCTGGGAGAGGGGAGGGTAAAGGGAACATTGGGCAGAGGAGAGAGATTGTGAGCTTGCTGTGGCACAGCGTGGACATGAAGGTAGTGGGAATGAGAAGGGCATTGAAAGAGAGAAGCGAGAAATCAGAGCTTGAGGGAGATAACAAATATTCAATTTTCTTCCTTCATAGTGCTACAGTGGATAGGTTCTGTCTGCTCGAATTCACATAAATAACACTTAGTCCCAAGTATTTTGATTAATATACACTCTCTTCAAGTACAGACTAAGTAATCCTTGCCTTTGTCCATGTTTTTTTTTTGTCCTAAGAATAATAATAATAACAATAACAACAGAAAATAAACATTGTTTGAAGAGTTACTATATTCCTGGTATTGTGCTAAGGGTTTGCCTATATTTATTTCATTCAGTTCTCCCCAAAACCTGTGATTGAAGTGCTCACTTATTATTATGTAATAGGAAGGTAAAGTTTAGAGAGAGTACTTAACTTGCTTAGTGTCACACAGCTGGTGAGTGGCATACCCAGGTCAATCTGCCTCACTCCGAAGGTAATACTTAAACTACTGTGCTATATGGCTGAACTATTTGTTCCTTCCTCTACCTCTTCCAATGTGTTTTGTTATTCAAGGCCCATTTCAAGTTTTCTTTTTCACTTAATCGATATAATTGAGCACCTTCCACGTATATTGCGTCCTCATCCTCCATGAAGCTTTCCCACACTGACTTCAACCTTTGAGCCTTTAAGGTAGGAAGTGAATCATATTATGAATAAATTTGGATTATTCTCTAAATGTGTTCAGTGAATGAATTTATTTTGTTTTCTGTCCGCCAAAGATTTTAAGCAATTGCAGGGTCAGGATCAAGAATCCAAAGTCGCCACCATCTCGACAGCACCAAACAGAGTGTTGGGTGGATATGGCAGGAAGCCCCTGACTCTTAGCCCATCCAGTGGCTGCATTTTAAGGAAGAAGAAATGCATGTGTGGATCTGATAAGGTCTTAGTGATATCTGGAGAAGATGCCCTACGAGTGAGAATCAGCTATGTTTACCACTTAAATCCACAACAGCAAGCCAAGATAACTGTCGCAGTCTGTGGACAGAAGTTCATGAAGATCATTGCTTGACAGGTCAGGGTAAAGGTCTCTTTCTTTCAAAATATGTGAAGGGACAGGAAACGTGTGCACCAGGTGTTTTGTGTTCATGGCTGCCTGGGAAAGATAATTCTGTCTGCTCGATAAGAACATTGTGCTCTACACATCAGGTTGTTTTGCCAGCAGCTATTTTCTGCCTATAAAAACGAGCATCGCTGGCTCTCAACTTCTATCTGCAAATCCCTTGGGTTACAAACAATAACAAAAGGTATCTTATATTTATACAAAGCTGTCCTCAGAAAAGCTCAAGGACCTGAGCAAAGCTTATTTTCATATATAAGAGTTCTTACATAATCCCCAAAGGGAAAAGGAACAGAGAGTGACAATTGAGTTAGGAATGTTGTCATTCCCAGCTAACAAAACGAAAATTGAAGCCCTATGGCACAGCACACTCACAGTCATAACCAGGACAGAAAGTCTGTCTTCCCTACTTCTTGCACACTGGGCCATGCTGCCTTGTCAGAAATCTGAAAACCTAGAGGAGAGAACTGGAGAGGAAAGACTGGGAAAGAAAGTTCAGCCACATGACATGGGATGCTACAGTCTCATTGCCTATGGTGTCTGTTGTTTTCACTGGTTAGGATTCTGTAGCTCCTAGAATGAGAGACCCTGTTGTCCTTGATCCTGGGGAGAATTTTCACCATACTCATTAGGAGGTATAGCTGAATTGCAGTAGATTTCAGAAGTCTGGGTGGTTTGGGGAAGAAGAACAAGGATATTTTGTAAATATTTATTGTATGCTTGGATACAAAGATGAGGAAGGCATAAGCTCTGCACTCAAAAAGTGCATCTAGTGGAGAAATAAACACAGGACAGAAAAGCCTATGAGAGTTGGATGAATACAGTAATGGAAAGGCAGTATTTTTGACTGATTTGAGTCAGAACTCCATGGGGCTGGAAAGCTTGCATTTAAAAGATGCATAGGAATGGTTTAAGGAATATCTTTTACACCAGTGGTCCCCGACATTTTTGGCACCAGGAACGGGTGTTCCTATGAGAATCTAATGCCTGATGATCTGAGGTGGAGCTGAGGTGGCGATGCTAGTGCTGGAGAGCAGCCGTAAATACAGATGAAGCTTTGCTCGCCAGCCACTCACCTCCTGCTGTGTGGCCGGTTCCTACCAGGCCACGGACTGGTACTGGTCCTCAACCTGGGGGTTGGGACCTGTGTTCTAAACTACGCTGAGGCAGTAGCTCTGTAATAAAATCACCTGAAGAGCCTTTAAAAAACACCCATCATTAAATAATCGAATTAAATTGATCCGAATATAGCTGGACATTGGTATTGAAGAAGAGCTCTTGGGTGATTTAACTGAGCAACCAGCATGGCATGGCTTTGGAATTAGACAGCCCTGTTCTAGTGCCCTGTGACCTTGAACAAGGCCTAGCGGATGGGGGAGCAGTGTGAGTCTCCCACAACTCCATTGTTTTCTCTCACTTCTACCCATGCCTGTGAAGAAACTGCCATGGGAGAGTTCCTCCTTTTTGACAAACTTCCCTTGACTGAAAAACTCTGGGCTGGGAATCAGGAAATCTAGATTCTATCCCAGCTCTACCACAAAGGTGCCACATAGGCGATAAAGCAAAGACACTTAGGATTACTATTTTCAAGTCACAGTGCTAGATACTCAGTGCATCTCTGGGCCTCAATTTTACCATCTGTCAAGATTTCTAGATCAGTATCATAGATCATAAAGTATACTTAATAGACTATGACCAGAATTATTTTATAAGACAGATATAAAGCATAAAAAAGTAGAGTTCACTGCACAGAATAGGGCAAGTATTGCAAAGTAAAATTTTGTCTCAGTTATGTGTGTGTGTGTTTACTGGGTCATGATGTAAAATACATTTCATGTTATGTGCCGTAAGTTAAAAAGTTTGAGAGTGTTCCCTTCAGCAGAACATATACTAAAATTCAAATGACATAGAGAAGATAAGCATGGATCTGTGCAACGATAACATGCAAACTCATGGAGCATTCCATGTTTTTAATAATTTTATGTGTTTTTTTACCACAAGTAAAAGAAGTTTGAGAAATATGAGATTAGATTCTCTCTGTGTGGACTCTGTAGCATATGACTACTCCAACTTAGTGTGAACGTACCTTTTTGTGACTTCTTTTTAGTTAGTACCACATAATTCTGGCCTATTATTTATTTATTTTTTAAAGAAGGAAGCAGGATGCTACAGTGTTTAAAAGCACTCTATTGAGTTGGAATGAGTCTGTGTTTGAATTTAATTCCTTCACTTATGAGTTGAATGACCTAAAAAATATATCCAACCTCTCTCAGCTTTGGTTTTTTTGTGGAGATGATAACACCCAGGATGCATATGGTTATAAGATTAAATAAGATTCTGTAGGTTAAACTCTTAGCATGAATCACCTTGTTCATAGAAAGTGCTCAGTGCATGAAAGCAATTATTATCTGACTTTCTGTCCCACCCAGATTTTAAAGCACAATGCCAGAAACATCTGATTGGAAAAACAAGAATTCCAGCCTCAAGGAGATCCTTGTACTGGAGAGCAGCTATTCTTGTTTGACATATCCCATTGGCACACAGGTTTTGGAAGGAGAGGCCGGGCACTCAGTGTCCTTTATCCACATATCCTTTTTGGTCTTTCCTCTGACATGGTCAGCTGGACCTGGGAAGACAAGGTGAAAGGAAGCAGATCTCCACTACAATTTGCTTCAAGGGTCCAAATGACCATGATATTTCAGTTCTATCAAACTCAACAGATAGATGGAAACAGAATCAGCAGTGCTGCAAACTGGGCATCTACCTGAGAGGGACTTAGAAAACAACACAGGACAAAGAAATGAGAAAGAGCTAGTGGCCAGGACACTGAGAAACTGAGGGTAAGATTCAGACATTACATCAAGCATAAACAGTCACCATCAAACAATCAACAAGTGAGCAACTCGCTAATTGTTTCAGAAATAGGCTAAGAACCAAGGCAGTGTTTTGTAAATGACTCATTTCAGGAACTACCCACTAATCAATTAGTGAGGCTTCTGTGTAATAGTTTCCCTTGATTTATATGTGGTGATCATGTGAATTGGATCATTGATTCTAGAATGAGATAAGCAGCAATACTGGTAACTTAATCTACTTACTCCAAGGAGCTACAAAGAAATTAGCTGCCCTCAGTAAAGCCAGCCTATTACTGAGGAGTGAAAAGAGAAACTCATTCATCATGGTGGAGCCTCACACCAGCCCGGTCTCCCTGGAGCATTCAGCTATGCTGAGAAGATGTTGATGGAGAAGGGGATAATGATCCATAAATAGATATATGGGAAAGGGGTGGAGTGATGGGGATGGTGAAATTTCAGGAAAAAAAATGGCCTTAAAATGATAAAAATGATAAAAGTATAGTTATAGGACCATGCAAATTATATTACAAAGGGTAGGACTGCTGAAAGTAGCACATGAAGCTAGTGTGTGTTTTTCTTTTCTGGAAGAAAACTTGATCTGAAATTGTATGGTGAAAAAGAAAAGAAAATATATGTGAATAATGTAGCACCACCTAAAAATATGTTGCTCACACAATGGTTTTTTGGAAAGAAAAGGCAAGGATGCCTGGAAATAGCTGCATCTAATCAGTCCCCATCCCAAGCAATCAACTGAAGTCCAGGAAATTCCATATGTAACCAGAAGAATAGACATCCTGGAGCATTTTGCTACAGTTAAGATTAGCGGAAACAGACCCCCATCAATGCTCACAACAAAAAAGCACTAAAGGTGAAGAAACTGCTGTGGGTCCCTGTGCCTCCCTTTTGGTGGCCATGGGGTAAGAAAATGGGAGTTAGGACATAGATTGTAGTGAAGCTGTGTAGACAGCCTTTTGTTCTGAGACCACCTCTTCAACAACAGCACAGAGTAGTGTATTTCTCCAGGGAAAATAATGAAAGGAACTGTGGCTCAGCCTATCCTCCTGATTTATCCTAACAATCTTTAAAAATGTTTGTTAATGTAGTAATATAATGTAACAAGACCCTTTTTGGGTCTTGTTTAAGAAATCCTTCCCTACCCAAAGGTCATAAAGATATTCTATATTTTCTTCTAAAAGTTTAAAATTTTTCCCTTTCACAATGAATTCCCCTTCTCTATGAGATTTAAAGACATAAAAAGCACAAACTAAAAAGGAAAAAGTAAATATATTTTACTTCATTAAAATGAATAACTTCTACTCCCTGAAAATATCATAAAGAGAATAAAAAGGTCAGCCACAAACTGGGAGAAAATCTCGACACCACATCTAACAAAGGACTAAGATCCAGAATATATAAAGAATACCTACAACCTTTGGAAAAATGTACAAAACCATGGTAAGGTAATTCGCAAAAAGAAATATAATTATTCAAGATAAAAGATTCTTAACTTAAATAGTAATCAGGAAAATGCAAATTAAAATCATAAGGAGATGACATTTTACATCCACTAAATGGACAAAAAAAATATGAAGTTTGACAATGAGAAGTGGTGAGAATGTGGAAAAACAGAATCTTATGTTGGGACTGTGAAATAGTACAATCTTTTTTAGAAAAAAACTTGACAGTATTTAGCACAGGTAAAGATTACATTTCTATGGCCCAGTACAATTCTTCTCCTAGGTGTGTACCCCAGAGAAACTCTTGCACATGTGTACTAAGTAAAATGTATAAGACTGTTAGTAAAAGAACTATAAATATTAGCAAAAACACAAGCAAAACTGAGCTAATAGTATTTGGGGTTACTTATATTATAGTCAACTATTTTTAAAAAGCAAGACTATGATAAACACAAAATTCAGAAAAGCAGGAGAATGGAAATTACAGTGGAGGACACAGCTAGTTTCAATTATATTGTTAGTGTTGTGATTCTTTAGTTGGTCAGTAGATTTATATATCATTGTACATATTTCATTGCAGGCACAGAATATTACACAATAAATTGCTTTTAATTTGTTTTTTAAAAAGTGAGTCTATGGCTATGCTACCCTGAACAAGCCCGATCCCATCTGATCTCGGAAGCTAAGCAGGGTTGGCCTGGTTAGTACTTGGATGGGAGACTACCTAGGAAGGCCAGGTGCTGTAGGCATAAAAAATTAAAAAATAAAAGATTGTAAGCTAACAAAGTTCTTGCAATCTGTGAGGTCAACCAAGGGTTGCCTCACCTAAATAAAAAAAAAGTGAACAAAGAACAAAAACTCTTCAGCTTTTTTTCCAGTTCACTAGTTCTCTCTTTCATTGTATCTAATGCTGTATCCATCTTAGTTTCATTTATTATGTTTTTTTTTTCACCTGGAAGTTCTGCTTGGTTCTTTTTTTCAAATCCACCTGATCATATTTTCTGTGAACTTGTTATACTTCAGATATTCTTTTTTTTAAAAAATTAACTATATCAAAAGTATATCAAAACTACTTATTTTATATTTCATATTTGATAATTCCATTATCAGCCAATATTTTGTAGCTATAATCTTTTTGTTTGCTATTTCTACTTATTCTCATTCGAATGACTTATTTCCTCTTCTGTTTTAAAATTTTTATATTTTAGTGAGTTTATAATTATTTGATGAAACTGTTTGAGTCCCTGGTGTAAGGTATATTTATCTAGAAAGGCACTACTCATCATGAATCACTTCAAATTAAATTATAAAGTTAGATGTTTTGGGATCATATGAGCAGAATGAATTCTAGATACTGGCTCTAAACCCTCAGAGGACCTCTCACGAATAGGAATTTTTAAAGTAGACTCTATCAAGAGTCAAGGTTAAGATAAAGTTTATTATTTTCCTTTATGAGATAAATTTTCTTCTTTTGGTTTAGCCTTGCATTAAAGATGTCAGCTTCTGGGTCCTGGCCTGTTTAGGGATATTTTCTGCCTTCATCTGGTTCAGGTCCTAGGCATTGTATCCTGACCCCTGCTTGATGCCCATTAAAATGAAGGCTCTAGGCCACCATGGATAAGTTAATGCCTGCAGGGACCTGTTGCTTCAGGGAGGTTACCTCTGAAGATTTGTGCTTTATTATATTTTTTTGCCTTTTGTGATTTCCATTATTTTCCTGAAAGTTCAAATAAACATTTTAATATTTTTTATTAAGCATTTTTAGGTGTTGTGAGCAGGGGAGGTTCCTTGTGGCATTTTTTATTTAATATTGTGAGAAGTGAATGTTTTGGCATTATTCTTAAATACTCCATAAGATTTCTCTTGTGAAGTAAAGTGAATTGAGGAACTGTTATAGCTTTCTCCCTGTTCCCTCCCACAGATAAAAATCTTCTGAAGGCATCAGACTCAAACACCTGAGCTATTGGGCCAAGTTATCATTTTACCACATAATAGCATGGCTGCTGCCCCGGTACAATCCTGGCCAACTTCTTCCAATAAAAGACAGAATGAACAATGTCTGGTTCATGGATAGGCACCCAGCATGAAGTACTTATTTTGAGCCTCACAACAACCTAATGAAATGAGTAGTGTTGCTTTCATTTTATAAATAAGAAAACTGAACCTCAATGATGTTAAGTAATTCATCTAAAGGACACAGAAGGACCTATGATGTTAAGAAAAATCATCTACGTATATCTTCCTAGAGTATCTTCAGAGGACCCGTGGGTCAACCATTTACTCATCCATCTACCCATCTAGAGGCTTCCAAGGGAAGGGGGAAGGCAAGTGGAGGGAAGCACAGACTCAGGTCACGGTGGCCTGCCCCAGCGGGAGCCACAGATGCTGCCACCCTCCGCAGGGCAGGTCCTTCACACACAGCCTCAATTTCTGTTCGGTTCTTCTTTCTCATGGCTGAACGATATTCCATTGTGTATATACACCGCATCTTCTCCATCCATCCATCCGTCCATCCATCCATCCATCCATCCATCCATCCATCCATCCATACATGCATCCATGTCCATACATCCATACATCCATCCATCCATTTGTGAATTCATTCAGATTGCCTTTCTTGAAAACTTGCCATGTGTATGACACTGTTCTAAACATTTACA